CTTATGCACTCTAAAAAATGCTGGGTTAAATACAACCCAATTGCTGGGTTTGTCCATATTTGACCCAGCACTGGGTTGTATTTAACCCAGCATTTTTTAGAGTGTGAGTCAATGCTTTTATTATATTTGTTTAACAGTTTTAAATCATAAATAATTTAAAACTGTTAAACAAATATAATCTGTCAAATGTGAGTGTAATAAAAGTGTTAAAAAGCATAAGCTATACATATGGGGTCCTACATCAACACGATGGGAGAAATGTCATTATTCATTAGCAGAAACCTATAATCTGTAATCCCAGTTCATTTCAGTTTTTGTTACACCCTTAACCGCAAAGTTTTGAGAAGAACCGCCTCAGTATTTAGTACCAACATGCTCCACAATATTTTTAGCATGACCCGACCTGAAACATTCACTGAGTCAAGCTTGGCAAAAGTGATGGAGAATCCGAGGGTTTGCCGCAATATTAACCACTGCGCATTTTAGACTGAGTCATTTTATTTCACATGTAGGAACTGCAACAGTCCTCGCTGTGGTTGGAGATGGTGAGTGGTAGAGAAAAAGTAGAAATGAAATGTGAAAAGCAACTGAAGTGCAGAACTAGTTCTGCTTCTGATTATGAAGAGGCCACTGAGCGAGAGCCATGCATCAGAAGTGCAGTTTGACCTTGACAGCTGAAAACACAAACCCCTCTCATTTTACATGCAAACCTCTCAGCTGGGTGAACTTTCTTCAAGAAAACATGCTCATTTAAACCATGCAAACTTATATCTGCATGAAGTGCTTTGAAGAAACAGGCCAACTGCAGTGAAAGATTTTAATGCTGGTCATTAATGCAGAGTGTGTCTTACACTTATATATATATATATATATATATATATTAACCTGACTATTTGCTGTTTTCCAAATGGTCGATTTTTGGCAAATTTATTGGAAACCAATGGGGTTCAATTTATACTCTATTACTTCTGTGCGTCGAAACTTTGCATACACATTCATGACTGTAATTGAGAAACAGTCACACAATTTCAAGAAGAAATAAATAGTTAAACCAGTGTGATTATCAAGCAGTTTTGAAAATGGAATATGAGTCCTGCAACACAATAATGACTTCAATTTTGGTCTTTTCCGCACACAATTTTATCATATGGCTTCAGAGAACTGGCACTGCAGCACACAAGTCATACAGACTATTTTTATAATACTTTCATGCTGCTTTTTAGTAGCTTAACTGCATCTGTACACCATGAGCATTATTCATTTGTGTTCCACAGAAGAAAGTCAGAAGGGCTTGGAATGACAAATTATTACATTCAAATGACTATAAGTAACTGTTTTCTTTTGAAAGATGATCTGTTAGCATTCAAATTATTTACAGAAGGTCCTTAGTACAACAAAGTAGAGTTATGTGTCAGACGTTTTTAAAACCCACACATATATATCATTCATAAGAAACTAGAAAGACAAACATTTCTCATTTTTTACAGAATTTACAAAAGCTTCACCACTTAAAGAAAAGCCAAAAAAAAAAAAAGAAGCATATCTACTTTACTATTCTGGTTTCGTTTTACATGAAGTCATCCAAACCATTAAAATAAATCTAGTTTAAATCACATAGCCTACTGTACGCAAATATGCAAACGCAGTCAGAGTTGCTTGGCCAACACATTTGGACCGTGTGGCGCTATTGTACATAACGTGTTTTTTTGCATTACTGTGGCAGTAACGGACATCAGTACTCAAGGAGGTGTGATAGAGTTATCTAGAAACATCTGTGCCATTAAACCAAATGTTTTCAGGTAGCTTGCTTTATGACAGAAAACAAAGAAATACATAGTATGTGTGGCCTGATTTAGCATTATTCTCTTCACCATGATGATAGCTGATGTGAATGAGAAAACTGTCCGTACACTCTAAATAATGCTGGGTTAAATATAACAAAACAACCCAACCGCTGGGTCAAAACAACCCAATAGCTGGGTCAAAACAATCCAATAGCTGAGTCAAAACAACCCAACCCAACCGCTGGGTCAAAACAACCCAATAGCTGGGTCAAAACAATCCAATAGCTGGGTCAAAACAACCCAACCCAACCGCTGGGTCAAAACAACCCGATAGCTGGGTATGTCCCTTTTTAACCCAGCGCTGGGTTATATTTAACCCAGCATTATTTAGAGTGTAGACAGAGAATGCAATGTATAGTTGCGAAAGAAATTGACAGAAAATTGTCATTAGGTGTCAAATCACATTCACATGCAACATGCATATAGCATAAATTTGCTCAGAGCCAATCAAATGCAGTTTTCCTACTGCGGTCTCTTTTTCTTCGGTTTACGGCAAAGATAAAGTTGGATTTAGTGATAGAAGCTAGATCATCGGAAAAAAAACCAAAAAACACACGTCTTGGCTTCTTAGCCAAAGAATAAACACACCGTCCCAAACTTTCTGAATAAATGACCACCATTTCCATTTTCCACATGGCTCGAGACATTCTTCGTGGTCTTTTCGAGCACCTCAGTTCACCACAGCTTTCAGAAAAATAAATCGCTGGTGTGCCACTGGAATTTAGGTGAACAGATGTTGTTTTGTCTATTCTGTTATCTTGCGTTTCAAACTTTCCTCTTAAAGCAACACCAAACGAATGTTAGGAAGGCTGTCTAACCTAGGAATAAGTGCTGCTCGATTTCAGTACGTGGTTAACTGCAGGTTAACAAACTACAGAGTCCATGTTAAAGTTGAGCAGGGACTGAAAAATAAATTTCAGTTTGTTATTCTCATTTCCACTTCGCCAAGCTGAATCCTCAAGGAAAACCTGTGTGTGTGTGTGTGTGTGTGTGTGTGTGTGTGTGTTTGGGTTAACGAGTGTGTGTGCTTAGACCAGTTCCACTTTGGAGTTGGGATACACGGCCACCACGTCGTAGCCCTCCGGAGGCTGCACACGGGCCTTGGCGTGCGTCTCGCAATACAGATTCTCATCGATGAAGAAGTATCCTCTCTGCTTTAGATTCAGCCCACAGTCATCACACACGAAGCAGTCGGGGTGATAGAGCTTGTCTCTGGCCTTCACGATGGTTCCCCTGCGATAAGACAGTTCTTAAATGTCACTTATTATACTTTAATGCTCTGGGATTTTAAGGACAAATCTTAAAAACACTTTTAAGTGTTTATGCTTTATAAATGTTTCAGTATCCAAGTACATTTTCCTTACAAATTTTCAAATTTGATTTCAAAATTGTTCTTTTTCAAAAACATCCATACAAAGTAAAAACAAAAGTTATAGAAAACCTACTAATATTTGCTTTAGACACAAGAAATAGCTAGAATATGAAAGTAGAGTGCTCATTACTATTTATTGAAACTATTTTTTATTTAATTTAGTTTACTTAGTATAAATAAAGACAACTTTGAACAAGCTTTACTGTGATTTCTTTTTAAAATATGCATCAACAACAAAACTGGTTTTCTATGAGGAAGTGCTATTTGCTTTTAGACAAACTGAACAAAACTGGTTTAAACCAGAAAACCATGATTTTCAGTTAGACCAATATAAAATGCACTTGAAATAAGTGACACAGTTGTTCTACAGAAATGTTTGTCTATAATTTAAAAACTATTCCAATACTACAGACTTCGTATGGATAGACTTGTATGAAAAAAAGGCTTATATGATAATATGGCAGACAGCAACAATTTCTAAAGCAGGATTAGCCAGATAATGTTTGATCAGTAACAGAGTAAACGGTAAATTCCTGGCTAATCTGACACAACCTAAAACAGAAACAGAAAGCTACTGTTCTGGACAAATGTCTGTTATGTGAACCTGACGGCTGATTGAACCCATATCACTAACCCAGCTAACAGGGAAAGTACAAGGTTCTCCCAAATGTTTGTGCAGTAACGTTAATGGAACGTTCGTTCAAAGTTATCTGGTCTTTAATGATGTTCTAAAAACGTCAGCACAAAACCATTATTTATACATTGTTCATGGAACAATTCTGAAATGTATTTTTTTTTTAAATGTTACCCATAATGTACCCAATACCAAATATTCCCATAATGTTGCAAAAAATGAAATGTAATGTTCTCTTAAAGTTCACTTAAACGTTTCTAAAACATTTCCAAAACTGGACGTTTTGCATGTTCAGAGAACATTTTAGAACTTAAAGAAAATGTTTTCAGAACATTAATTTTTTTTTATTAGCTGGGAATCCACTTCCTTTTATTAATCTCAATGAACAGTCCCATATTTGAAAGCTATAATATCTGTCAACAGCATTTACAATGGACACATTGTTTCACTCTTCTGTGGAACTTCCTTATCATATGACCTCACTGTTTACTCAGTTTTAGTGGAAACTGTGGGAAAGTGCCAACAGCGGTAGAGTGACTTACAGTAATATCTGGATCACCTGTGCAGCGGGAGGAACACATGCTGCAGCAGCTCCGGCTTCATTAACAATTACATACTCAATGAACGTGCCACTATTGTTAAAGTCTTTCATTGACAGCAAGTTAAAGCTTGTAGGCTCGTGTTCAAAGATATGGAAACAAACACATGGGCTTCCAAAGTCATTTGCTATGTCTATGCAATACTATCTAATGTCTTACTAAATGTTCATTTGGGGGCTTTTCTCTATGTATTTAAACAAACCGATAAGAAGCACAACGTCACACTTACACAATGCCGTTTGCGCAGCGTGTGCACTGCGGCAGCTTCTGTAAGCCGGGGATGGGCGCCAGAGGAGCCGTAATGGGGCTGCCCAGCTTTGGCACGGGGGATTTGATAGGGGAAAGCAAGCCTCTGACCCCATGTCTGTCCACGGGTGAGACCCCTGCAAGGAAAATAAGCTCAAGTCAAGTGCACAGAATATGATATGATATGATATGATGCTCATATACAGAAAGTAATCAACTATTCAACTAAGACAGGAAGGTCGAAAAAGTGAAAAAGCATGATAGGACCCCTTTAAAGAAGTCGCATTTTTTCGAAAATTTTAAACAAAATTCAAATGATAATTCAAACACTCAAATTCAATTTCGTTTCCTCATACTGGGGCAGCATAAACTTTAAGGAATATGAAATACAGAGTTCTGGCATGAAACTCTAGATGGCGCAGTCCGATAGGTCTAACTCAATCTGACCTAATGACATCATTATCACATGGCACAGCTGATTGGTTCTCTCCTGTATCGGTAGCCAATGAGCTCGCTGCTCAACATTAAAATATATGACAA